AACCCCCAAACCCTAGAACCCCAAAACCTTAAACCCTACAACGTTAACCCCGCACCCTAAAGCGGAAAACGCCTCAAATCCTAAATCCTACACAAACCGGTTAAACCCTAAATCTTAACCAGCCATCCCTTGGCCCAGGCTTCAGGCGGCTCTGCTAAGGACTGGGCTGAAAAGAGGGGGATGCCCTCTGTAACCACGGGCTTACGGTTTAGGGTTTAAAGTTTAGGGTTTGGCGTTTAGGGCTTAGGGTTGCTGTTATGTACGGAAGTTAAGTTACCATAGTATGGGTACAAAATAGTATAGGGTGTCCTTATAATGGTATTTTATTCGAGTTCCTTGACAGCTACCCAGTCGGAATGTAGAGAGAGGGTAAGGGGTCATGCCGAAAGAGTTAATAAGAATAGTGTTGGGAGTTTTCACAGCGAGTCGCTTTTTTGATGGGCTGGAGCTAGCATCTATTTCGGTTGGTTTTTTTTTGCAGCGCACGTCAGGAAAGGAGTACAGTAGCCTTAAAGGTCAAGTCATTACAGTCCTGTTGTCCTCTCTGTAACACTGTAGGGTTCTGCGCAGGGAGGTGCACTAGAGGAAAACTGCCTCAACTAACTTTGCAATGCCTAGTAAGACTGTTGTGTAGACTTCCAACAGTATGCCGGATGTCACTAGCGGTATGTGTTGAGGACTACGGATGCGCTGGCTCGTAAATCAAGTGTCTGTTTACTGAAGCCGGGCCAGAATCAGGACCGGGCTGGCGACTTCTTGGACAGCAAAAGCATTACTGTGGTCCGCAATATGGGGCTATATGGTGATATATAAGCCGAATTAAGGAAAATCAGATGGATCCAAAAAGGCAACTTAAATGGATACTGGGTTGAATCATCAGGGTTACATATCCGCAGATGAACAGAACTCCCGCAGACTGCCGGACGCGGCAACGTCCGAATGGCGAATTCAGTCTGGCGAAGCAGTTGTGACTGTTGTGGCAGTTTTGATGAAGTTTTGATTCATGACGCTGGCTTCAAATATGACACATCAGCGGTTCAACATTATCAAGCGTTTTCGTTAGATTCGGTGTAACAAGTTTTGTAATCATCAGAGGCTGTCTCATTTTGATTACGTTGTTCACTAACGCCTTCGTGAGGAGATCGAAGAGGCTGATCTTCTCTTTGTGCCAGACGATGATCAGGATTGGGGATTCGGTGACATAATGTGCAGACTTTTCTGGTAGATGCCTAGCGGCCAGATTGGAGGGATCATGTTGGGATTGTACAGGCTTTGGGTTTACAGGGATCATGCAGGGATTATATGGAGAGGCTGATGGAAAAGAACATGCAAGATCAATGGAAGGTAAGACAGGGCTTAGGGCGCTTAGGGATTATGGATTATATGGGTATTCAATAGGGTGGTTTAGGATCTAGTACCGAATACTGGAGAATTGATTTGGAGAAGCTTGGAACATCAAACGGAGGCTGGGAGAACGTAGGGGTTCAAGCTGATGCAGTTTCGAGTTGCATCCTGGAGCCACTTCTTTGCAAGAAGATTTCCGTGCCGTCATGGGGGGTTCCCCGACTCGGGAATTCAGTATCTATCATTGTAGACAAACCCTGACTTCACGCAAGTTTCAGTGTGGTGGCCGAGGATAGGTCTTTTAACCTGATGACAAGAAGCCGTAGCTTGATAGCAACTACAATAGAAAGGATAATTCTTGCTCTTGGTCTCTCTGCTGTCACTATCTCTTTTCTTTGCGTCATTGAAGGCATGGTTGTTGCTTTCAGCATCAAGCCAAGAAAGTCACAAATCCGTAGCCTGACCAACGGCTGCAGGATCGGTTTTCGGGTGCAAGATGCGTGGGTTCTTGTCAAATTGTGTTCTGCTCAACTTCTTCACCTGTTACTTGCGTCAAAAGATCAAGACGCTGGAAGTGCAAACTTACAGGTCATCCCCTGCCCGAATCACAATCCCCTGACAATAGCAATAAGAACTGTAAGTATAAATGAAAAAGCAAGTAGTGGCAGAAAATCTGCCCATTATTGTAGAACAGTCTAAATAGTTTATCCCCGTTGGTCGATACAACCCCCACAAAATGCTAGAGGCCCACTGGCTTTCAGTCTCCCCACATCCCTAAGATTGCACTCCATTTTGGAAAGCTTGTGAAGGTAGCGCAAAGGTAGCTGTGGCCCCCCTCATCCTAAAGCTCTACAGGAGTGGCAGCGGCCACGGCGTCCGCCCCCGGGTGACACCTGCGGTCCATCCAAGCAGCTGTGGGGGCCTCAGCACATTCTTTTGGGGAACAAGGGTTCGGGGTAGAGGGCTTAGCGGCTAAGTTTGCCCAGTGTCTGGGGGAACGAAGGGCTCCTGGTACGAAGTTTTGCGTACGTACTTGGAGCCAGGTGATGCGTGCCCAGAGAAGTGAACTCTAGTTCTTAAGCCATCTTGCTCGGAAGTTGGTTTCTAGCTTGGATTCCTGGTCCTTACCTCTTAGACCCTAGACCTTCTACTCCAACCCTCTAATCTAGCCAAGAACGGAAAGGAATGGATCGCAGAGTGGCACCTAGATAAGCTCCAACAAACTAGCAGTTTTCATTCTTCTTGGTCCTTTCAAAGCCCAGCAGGCTCAAAACAGAGCACTGGATGGACGGACCCAGGAGATGTGTACGGATTACAGGGGATCCTTGTTTGGGTTGATGCAGGGCTTAAATTGAGCAACCTTCTCATGACCACGTGACCAAGACACTGTGAAATGGTTCGTCCGTTACTGAAAACGTCGGGTCATGTGTATAGGCGGCATTGGGTATTTTCCCAAAATACGGGAACCCCAGTATAGACCTCGATATACCATAATCCTTATTATAGGACCACAAAAATGGCATCCCTGATTTTTGGGCAACACCCATTGGACCTTACGTTAAGGGGAAAAAGAAGGGAGCACTGCAGGCCCTGCCCGCAACCATCCCAAGCCCCAGGACCCGGGTTTAGGGTTTAGGACCTAGGGTTTAGGGTAAAGGTTTAGGGTTTAGGATTTAGGGTCTAGGGTTTAGGGTTTAGGATTTACTAGCCCCTAAACCCTCAAACCCAAGCCTCTGAACCTAACTTGTTAAGGACCGGTCCCATCCTGTCGGTCTCGCCTGCCAGTGCTAAACCAGAGGCCTTGTACTCTAGCACTTTGTCGGAGTTGTGACCTTTTTGAGGGTCATGACCTTCTGCATAGACAGACCTCCAATGTGGTACCCGCATATTCGGTCAGGGGTCATGGTTTGGTCAATCCGCATCTTACTGGACTTAAAGCCAAAGTTTGAGGCTTGTGAAGGAAGAAGGTTCATGGAACGCAAGTTTGTATAAAGGGATTATTTGGGGATAATGGAAAAGGAAATGGAAGCTACTGTAGGGTTTGGGGGGGAGAGGGAGACTTTTGGCATTTAGACGGCACTATCAGCAAGGTTTCTAGCGTGATTTACATGGGGGACCGTTTCAATGTGGACCCTGTCACATTTCCAATTCTGGAGGCCTTGCAATGATGGAGTGTGTTGTTTTGGGTTGTCTCAGGCATGGCTTCCTTGTCCGGAGACTCTCCCGGTCGCAGGCATCGTAAACCTTAGGGGTAGTTTTTTGGGGAGTCCCTACAGTGCGAGTTTTAATACTTTGGGTTCTATATTGGGGTAAGAACATGTATTTCGTGGTCTGGGCATTGGAGTTCATGCAGTCTTTAGAAACCTTCGCCATCACGAGGGCTGAAGCAGCGTCTGGCTCCTCCCAGGCTACTGGGTGAGACGGTAAGTTATGCGTACTCCCCAGTCCTGGCCCAGTGTTCAACAATTCGAGGTATGAGGAAGTGCCTTTTTTTGGTGCAACGGGCAAAGTAGTAGTGCTTGTAGTGATCCAGGCAATTTTTTGGCCCGGAGTGTGTCGGAAAGAGACTCAAGTTTCTGATATTCTGAGGTGTTTGCGCTAGCAGTGAACCATGCGCATTGTTCCTGTTCAGGCTCAGCATGAGGAAGAGGAATGGATGGAGCGGAAGAGGCGCGTGCCTGCTTTTCATTCTTGGTGCGTATATGGGCACCACTGCAGAGGATCCTCCCCAGTATTCTGATTATTGGGATCCACTTCCCCACTCTCCCTTAACCCTAAACCCTAAACAGTAAGTCTTGCAGACTTGCGGGTGACATCTTCCACCTGTCAGGGTGACGGGTGTCATCGGTCGGCTGGTCCTGGGCCCAGTCCGTGCAGAACATCGCAAGCCATGCCCACGGCAAATGTGGGGGTTCCCAAACAATTTCGGCTATTTATTAGGGGTACGTATCATAAGGATTGTAGTAGATTGTGGGTCCTGTGCTCAGGTTAGCACGGGACCATTAAGGGAGGACATAGGTCCCTTTGGTAGTCTGGTATGGTGCCTATTCCTAAGAAGAAACCATGTCGACAGAAGTCTTCACGGTCGCTAACATGGAAGCTTATGTAGGGGGTATATTCTGGTTATAAAGGGATCATAAAGGCTTGGGTTTACAGTTTAGGTTTAAAAGTTAGGGTTTAGGCCCCTTAGTTGGGAGGTATATCGGAAATCACTGCATCTGCCAGACTTCAGTGACTTGAAGTGTTGCTGTTCCATAATACTTCCAGATGCCTTAGGTCAGGCCCCCGATCCGCTAGCGGCAATTACCCTCTGGGTAGCTCAAGATATCCAAAAATTACGAGGGGCATTTGTTTGGGAGAGCAGTATGGGAGTCCCAGCAGCCATCCCTGGTATTTGTGGAGGCTGCAGAAGGCTACTTGCTGTCTCAAAGAGGGGCTCTGCATATACTCAACCGATGACACCCCGCAGATTCGGGCATTACTTGCTTATTTTCCTACCAAACTGGTAACTCTACTACATGGGAACCATCGCCTGACCCAACCATTCGACCACTGATTCAGGCATGGCAGCATGGCAACAACATGAACAAATCACGGAATTGTGCATTAGTAGCATGGTGTAAAGGAAGCACGCGGAGTTGGATCAAAGCGCAGCCATGGCGTCTTCGGGAGAGTTCCAGGTACCCATTGATGGCTGGTTCATGGGCCGGGTTAAGTCATATCAGCCAGGGACTGGCTATGGCTTCATCGAGTGCGAGGAGACGTACAGGTACTTTCGTCGTGATGTTTACTTGAGCAGGCATCAGCTGGAGCAACTAGACATCAGGACAGTTCCCATGGGCACAGATATCCTCTTTAGGGTAGTCGTGCCGGATGGCAAGCCACAAGCTTGTGACCTAGCATTTCCAGGCGCAGGCAAGGACATGTGGAGTGGCCAGAAAGGCTACAGCACCAGCTTTTGCGAAGACGAGGCCGGGCAACAGAAGCAGGGTCCGAGGACGGACGTTGAGCCTACTATGAAGCAGTGCGAGCATGGCTTAAATGGCTTTAAGAACTGCTTGCAGACTCTTGCCATGTCCTTAGAGCTGCACGGCCTCAGCGATGAATCCTTCAAGGCGTTGAGAGAAGCAGATGCAGCACTGCGTTGCGTGCAGTGTCGAAGAGACGAGCGGACAGAAGGTTCGAAGATCCTGCTTCTTCTAGAGCAGGCCAAAGAGAAGTGGGGCGACAAAGACAACTTATGCCACCACGCCCTCCGCAACGGCTTGGCGCAGCGGCTCAGTGCGCCTCCTGTGCGGCCAGTCGAGATGCCCATCTCAAGGTTAAGATTCACACAGAACACTCACAGCAAGCGGTTCCTGCATGGCCCCCATGCAGGCAAACGAATTGAGTGGTTGACAGAGCAACTTCTCACCGGGTCCGTCGCGCTGGATGATCCATCTATGGTGCTGCACGTCGTGTACTACCATGGCCACTACAGGTCACTGAATAACCGGCATCTGACGGCCATTGTCAAGTATGCTGAGGAAATGGAAATGCGAAAGTTGCTGCCCAGGCAATGCCGTGTCCGTGTGTGGCCACTGGTTCGCTGCTTGTCCATGAGCTGAGAAGCGTGTTTCGTAGTGCATCATCCCGATCATGTTTAGTTCAGTCACACTCATTTGTACAGCCCATCTAAGGTGGCCTCCGAATGGAGTTTGATGATGGCTCCGAACAAGACGTCATCCGGAAGTTTCTCCGTGCTAGCGACACTTCAAGCGATGGTGCCAGCATCGAGTGCAAGCAACGGGCCGGATGGCAAACCTCTGTGAATCAAGAGGTGTCGGTCCATGTTACCAACCTTGACCTTGACATTCAAGAGTCTGAGCTTCGCCAACATCTTTCAGAAGCAGGGCTGCGTGGCACCTTCAAGGTGAAAGTTTCGCGTCGGCCAGATGGACGTTCCAATTGCCATGGCTGGGTCACTTTTCAGCAGCCGCAGCACGCAGAGAGTTTGCTGCAGTTGGCTGGGGATTTGGCACTTTTACGAGGCAGGGAACTCAAGCTGCGCTGGGACAACGTATCGGTGGCAATGCAGCCGAAGGCAAAGGATGGACCTGTTGCATTCGCTGAGGGGAGTGTCTGGGTGCGATGCAAGAGCTGCCACGGAAGGTGCTCACCTCTTCTTGATGTGCTCTTGTTGGAAGGTGAGCGGCTTCGAAAGGACATGGTGCCCGCCGGCAAGTTTGACAATGCACCAACATTCTTCTGCGTTGGACGGGAGGCTTCGCTCTGCGAGTTTTGTGATGTGATTTCGCCACACCCAGATGCCGCAGAGATGTCGTTCAAGCTCTCTCTGATCAGATGCAAGACATGTCACCAGGATCTGGGCAACATCCAGAAAGCATCCCGCATGCAGGGGAACGTTCAAGAGCTGCTGGGTGAGCGGGTCGTCCATTTCAAATGTGCATCCGTTCTCTTGGAGCTATCCGATCGTCGAGACTTGTTGCTGGAGGTCCGCAAGTGGCAGTACCTTGCGCAGGCCACAGGCAGGGAATCCATTTACCGACTGGCTCAGCTCACGCTCCAGGAGGCCATTGACATCTTGGGCCTCAGTCTCAACTCCAAGGTTTCAGCAAGGAACACCAGCCGCCATGCGCGTATCATCCCTAACAAGTTTGGTGACAGGGAAGGCCTCTGAAATCAGTGCCAGAGAGACAAGCTGTGGCATCAGTTTTGAACATGCCAAAGGATTCTGCAGGGACAATTTGGGCTGCCTTGAAGCGTAAACCAAAGCCTTATGCACCTTGGCGTGTGTAGCAGTTGGAGATCTGATCCTCAGACACAGCGTCGTGTGCAGCGTGAAGCAAAGCGAGGGATGCAAGGTGCCAGGATTAGGCTTCTCGCTAGATGGCGTGGGCTTGCATTATGTTCTTTTACTAGTAGTAGTTTAGTTAAACTCATGGTCCAGGCCAGGTAGAAAGGTTTGGTCGCACTGTCCGAAAACAGCGCACATTATAGCGCAATATTCCCTAGCATGATGCAGGTTGTATTGTATACTGTTGTGGATAGTATTGTTGCATCTTCTACACTGTATGGGGTAAGAAGGAGTATAGTTTTTGGGACTATCTTGGGGTCCCTATTTCTTTCTTCCCCAAACCCCACACCCTGTTCAAATCTTTGTTCACTTCAAGTTGAGGTGCAGTACCAGATGGGGGAGATCCCCTCCAAGGCCGTCTGCTGGATCACCTCCCCCATTGTTGCCCCGCCAAATGTGGAGGTTTCCCAAACTTCGGGTCCCTTTTTGGGGGTATCTTTTAGGTCCTTCCTCCCCTCTGCAGCAACAGTTACTGCAGTAGGGACGAGGGTCTAGAATAGCCGCTTAAAGAAAGGCCTTCAGGGGCAGTTATTGTAAGCGGGAATGCCCCAAGGTATCTATAGTAACTATGGTCATGACTACAGTATATTTGGGATCAGTCAGGGCTCCTCAGCGGGTCTAGGGGCATTTGCATTCTTGAGGCAGGACACACCGGAGAACGCAAGGCACCTACCCATACCCCCAGATTTGATTCCATAGACCCCCTACACACCCTAAAGCCCTAAACCCTAAACCCTGAACCCTATCCCAGGCTGGTCCTTCATCATCTCAAGACCTCACTGCTCCATTCCCTGACAGGATGTTCTGGGATTGCATCGAACCTGTGGGGAGCTCGTTCAGCCATGGGTCGGAATGGTAGTTAAAACCGGAACGGCCCAAATGGTAGCTTCCACATGTTCTGCAGTGAGGGTTGTTTTTTCATCACGGCCTTTGTATGCTTTGTATTCAGGTAGCCCTGTACTAGTGAGTACAAGGGATAAAGGTGATCATATTAGGATCCCTATACCATTATTGCAGGGTGGGTGGGCCACCTAAGCCAGCATCTGGACCATGGCTTGGTTTTCACACACACGCTTCTTTAAGTTGAATTTGTGTGTTGTAAGCCTGACCAACAGAATCACCAAGGCCCAGCTAGACATATAGTTTGAACGACCGATGCAGTCTCAAGCAGTTGATGGTCTCTGTCTTGTGTGGTATGCTTCCAAAGTTCAGAACGATGCAAAATTCATGCAGTCTAGATTATCCCTGCATGGACAGCAGCTCTAAACCCTTATTATTACTAATTGATTATTGTCACTACTGTCATTGCTACTGCATTTGCCTATGTCATGATAAGTCGGCTCGACAAAGGCGGCCTCCCTGATCCTAACACTTTCCATGGCAATAATGCCATGAAGCTTGATTTTCTTTCACCGGAGGCTAAAAAGCAAGGAGCGCCCCTGAATTTCCTGAAGCTCGAAGCGATTACACCTCCTGATTCTCGAGTCCAAAACTTGCAACCTGGCAACCTGAACCTGAAAACAGAACTGTTTCAACCCTAAACCCCAAGCCTTGAGTCCCAAATCCTGAACTGTAGGCACTAATCCCTGAACTTCGCCTTGAGCCCCAAATCCTGAAGGCTGTGGACCCTGAGCCCTAAAGGCGCAGACACCAAATTGTGAAGTCCCGCATGAAATCTGAACCCCGAAGGCACAGACTTCAAATCCCCCAAGCCTAGGCCAAGGGCGCCTTATGGTAACAGCTGTTCGAGGGGACCGACTGGGAACTGCATTTTCTGGGCTGATGATTTTACTTTGGGCTTTTGCTGTTGAAGGCAGCCAGGCTCCTTTTTGAACGTATGGGGGCTTGGAATGCAAGGTTTTGGATGGATGATGTCGGCAGTTGCAGGAGCAGTCTCTTTTGGTGCTTCTTTTTGTGAGTCAGGGCTTGAGTAGGGAGACTTTTTCACACAGACGGCAAAGGAAGCCATGAAACGATCGTCTTTAGATCCAGACTGCAGCGGCAAAGGTTCCTACAGTATGAGTCGACCTATGAGGCATATTCAGGCAAAGAAGCCCAGAGAAGGAGCGCCAGTGTTTTCCCGAAAGCTGACCGGATGCTTGCTTTCTTCATGCTTCGGCACCTTGTGTGAAGCAGGCACCGTACAACAAACCGTTGCTCTGAGCCCTACACCCTAAACCCTGAACCCTAAAGATCTTTTTCACCTGTCTCCTCAACTCCACATCCCCATGGTTTTTTTGTTATGCTCCTCCAATGGGACACCTAACAGACCTAATAAGTACACTCACCCATTTTCCTAAGCAACCCGGTATAAACCTACCAAAACCCACGAAAGTTCCAACTTCAAAGAAGCTCTGGGGCCAAGTGAGCCAATTGGTTTGGGTGAGGATGGCCCAGCTGCCCGTGCTGGTGTCGTTGCCGGAGACCAGCTTATCTCCATCAACGGTGGGGCCCTGGGGGGCATTTACTAAGTTCAGGTTGGGGAGTTTCGGCTTTGGGGGCGTTTGTGAGAGGTGCAGGACTGGGATGGCATGAAAATATGGCAACTTAGGATCCTTGCCGTGCGTCCTCCGAGTTCAATCGCCATGTTGAATTTTTTCAGCGGTAGTTGAATTTGCTGCCAAGCGCCGGTAGCACTTAAGTCTGTATGAGATTGCGTGAAAAGAGCTCCTTTCTGAATTTCTGAAGTCTCTACTTCAGGCACTACTTCTCGGAAGCCATGTTAACGAGAATTGCGCACCTACTGACTGCTCGATTCGGATAGTTCATTATCCCAGCCCGGAACAAAGCCCCTCACCCCCTCGTGATAGCAATTCCCAAAACAGTACCACTTTATCTTAGTTCTTTCTTAGTTGTGGGGGGATTCGAACTTGAGCAAGAGGACATGTGATTTGATGGGCGCTGACTGCTTGGGATTTGGGTTGTGGGTGTAGGGTTGTGCTATGGTTGTGCTTTGGTGTCGGAATTCAGACCCTGTTGTAAAGTCCGGCGATGTCCTGCTGGCAGAGTTGGTCCGCGGCAGGCGAAAAAATCTGGGAGTACTACCCAGCCAAGGCTTGGAAAGGGCTTAATTGGGTGATTGTCAAAATTATGGGCCCTTTTTGGATCCCTACTATAATACGGCACCTAATATTTAGGGTACCCAAAAAGGGACCATAATCTTGACAACCAACTAATTATTGATTTCTCAGGCTTGCAATCTGGAGTCCTGACAGCTTTCTTGTTCATGGTGCCCCTAACCCTATAGTTTCCATTTTCTTTTCCATTATCCCTATATTCTCCAAATATATGTGGTTTTGCCGGCCCTCCTCTTTGGATCTTCGGAATTTCGGGTGGCTGCTTTCTATGGCACTCCCACGGGAGCCCCTCTAGCTCCTGTACATGCAGGGAAAGTACAGACCTTCAAAGCCCCACTCCCTCAACTCCTCTCCAGCATCGGATGCAGAGTTGATCCAAGTCAGATGTGTTTTACTACGCTATCCAGAAGCAATTGGTGGGAACTCTGTGCATCAGGGTTAGCTGGCTGGATCCCTGGTTTTTCTGGTATGGGCCGAACCGTAGCTCGTTTCAGAGTGTTTGAAATGGGCAGTTAAGGATTCCCTATATCAGGGTGCATGCCAACGGCTCATAAATCTCAAAGCTCTAAGCACCTTTGTCCCGTATGGACCCTAGAATGCTATTCATGGGACCCCGAAAAAGGTACCGCTAGGATAGCTTTCTCCCAACTGCAGGCCGTGCTCAGTGGTGTGCGAGGGCCTGCTACCCTCATCTTTTTGGGCTTCTCTGGAAAGCTCCAGGCCTGCTGGGGCGTGTATAGGGGTTTCTTAAGGATAACATCAGCAATAGTCTAAGCTCCTTAAAGGGGGTTATACAGGGCGACTACTATGGCGGGTATTAAGGGGGATACTCGGAGTTTGGAGTATAGCTCACATAGGAATATTGTCCAAGCAATGAAGAAGCAAAGCAAGTTTAACCTGAAATGGTAACTGGGGTTATTTATAGAGTTCGAATTCCTGGATGTAATCATGGTATCGGTACGAAGGAAGGGCAAACAAGATGGAAGCTATTGTCTTCTTGGGGATTATTGGGGACCACCGGGATCCAGTCCTTCATTCCCTGCAAGTCTTTTTGCATTACCCTAGTCCCTAAACCTTAAACCC